GTGGTCTTATTTATAGGCCCTAAAACACAGACACAAGGCTGTTTGATTCCTGCCTCAGGGGGTGTATGTGGAGCTTATTTTAACCTCCACCAGGAGGAAGTGAACAGAGGTCCTTCCTGGTTGGGGGCTTGGGCACTTATGTTTTGGTCCCAACCCTTCCTTGTCACTTTCACTTCTTTTTCTGTGTGGTGAAGCTATTGTGAGGAACCTAAGTTTGAGATTTCTCTTTTTCTTTTTTTTAATATTTATTTTTTAGTTTTAGGTAGACACAATATCTTTATTTTACATTTATGTGTGCTGAGGATCGAACCCAGTGCTTCTTGCTTGCTAGGCGAGCACTCTACCACTGAGCCACTACCCTAGCCCAGTTTGAGATTTTTCTTAGTTTCCAAAAGAAAACATCCTAAAACCCCTGGTATAATTAAGTCTTCTATTTCTAAGGCAGCTGGGCTGGGACCTGGAAAGGGAAACCAGAATCACATTTGTCTATTGATGCCACATGTCTCCCTTTAGAACACAAACAGCTCCTAAAAAATGCACAACTGGAACTGAAGAAGAGTAAGAGGAAAGATTACTACAAGATTCTGGGAGTGGACAAGAATGCCTCTGAGGATGAGATCAAGAAAGCATATCGGAAACGGGCCTTGATGCACCATCCAGGTTAGAGCTTGTGGGAGAGGGGCATGCTGGGAAGAACCCTACAGGCAGGCACACAACCTTGCTCCGTCCTGGGGGCACCTTGAGAGGGTCTTCAGTAGAAATAAGGGGGTTCCAGAACCAGAGTCCAAAATCAGAAATGATGAAGTGGTCTTTTCTTTTAAACTTTGTTTTCTTGAGACTTTAATTTCATCTGAGTTTTGTTCCTTTTAGATCGGCACAGTGGAGCCAGTGCCGAGGTTCAGAAAGAAGAGGAGAAGAAGTTCAAGGAAGTTGGAGAGGCCTTTACCATCCTTTCTGATCCCAAGAAAAAAACTCGTTATGACAGTGGACAGGACCTGGATGAAGAGGGCATGAATATGGGTGGTGAGTTGATTGGGGCATCTGGGATGCATCTAACACCTGTGGAACGTTGACAGCTTTCTAAAGATGCTCCAGAGGGAGAGTCTATATGTAATCAGTTCATGACAACACAGTAATTTGTCAGTCTTCCCTTGATGAGTACCTATGTTTCAGGCACTGTGTTGAGCCCTGCAGATGAATTAGGTTGGTTCTCTAATGCTAGGAACCCACTGTCTAGGAGGTCACAAATGGATGGATCCTGGGCCTAATCTGATCCTTAGTCTAAGCAGAATAATAAACATAGACTCAAACAAAAGCAATCAAGTACAGCAGTTCACAGGGTGCAGGGTGGGCTCTAAGGGGGTGGTGAGCACTAGCAAGGAAAGGCTTGGAAGTATAGAAAGTGACCCCTTCAGGGATCTGTAAGGGGCTTGGTCTGGAGGATGTAAGGATAGGGTACTAGAGACAGGCAGTGAGTGTAAGAGCAGCAAGTAGCTGGATCAGATCTCAGAAGGCTACAAGGGTTATATGCAGTAAGGAATAGCCGAATGTTATCTCACCCCCACCCCACTGCAAAGTATGTGCTGTTATTTGTGTGTGTCATACATTCCTGTAAACCCTCAGATCTTAATTCCCAAAAAAGACTTAGCATGAAGAAAAGTACAGCTTTTGTCAGTGTGACTGAAGGGCTTGATCAGAGATAACAGTGGTACTGAACTGCCCATAGCACACAGACCACATTCTGTGCTACCAGCTCTTTGTCTTCCATTAAGACAGTCTATTGTAATTTAAAATCAGAATGATGATGCTATGTAGATAATCCTGAATCCTCTCAAGTCAAGGTTGGTGTGTGTGTGTGTTGCTGTTTACCAGTAATAAACATGTTGCTCTGCCCTGAAGTTGAGAGGATCTAAGCAGTCAAAAGCTATTGAAGTAGTGGGGTTGTGGCTCAGCAGCAGAGCACTCGCCTTACATGTGCAAGCTCTGGGATCGATCCTCAGTACATTAAAAATAAATAATTAAATAAAATAAAGGTATTGTGTCCAACTACAATTAAAAAATAAATATTAAAAAAAAAAAAAAGACAGGCATTGAAGTAGGGCAGGGATTGTGGCTCAGTGGTAGAGCACTTGCCTAGCATGCGTGAGGCACTGGCTTTGATTCTTAGCACAGCATATAAAGATACATTGACAGCTTAAAAAAAAAAAGCTATTGAAAGCTTTTAATTAGAAGTACTGTGGGCTAGATTTAGGCTCTAGAAATTTACATGTGGTGGTAGTGAGGAGGGGGGTGAAGGAGGATAGAGATTGAAGGAAGACGTGTAAGTAGTAAAGGTATGGAGAGCACAAATGGCAGATGGTAGCAGACTCAGCAGGAGTTGGTTGCTGATCAGCTGTGTTTGGGAGATGGAAAGGATGTAAATTGAGAGTGACTTTGCTATAGATGACTCAGGGGACCATTCACTGAGCCAGGACACCCGGTATAGAGGAGGGTGTCACAGATCTTGCTCTTAAATTTATTTGGATAGCATTGAAGTGATACATTTTAGCCCTTTCAGTAGCAGCCCTAGCATTGTAGGGGGCTGTGTTAAGTGCAAATGGCATCTTAAGTTGCTCAACGAGACTGCCTGTGGAGTAGGTTGAGGCAGAGAAAGCTTTCCCTCTGAATCTCACTTGGAAGGGGATGGGAACATGTCCTTGGAGCAAGAACAGGCACTATGTTTTGCATGGGGTGGGCAGATTTGCCAATCTTTAGGCTGAGGTGTTGGGAAAGGAAGGAAATGATACTTTAAAAGTATGACTTGGAGACCTGTGCTCAGGGTCATAAGTTCCTTTTCAGATCCTTCTAATTTTTCCCCATTTTGTCCCTTCTATGTTTCTTGCCAGATTTTGATGCAAACAATATCTTCAAGGCATTCTTTGGAGGTCCTGGGGGCTTCAGCTTTGAAGGTGGGTATGCCTGCTGCCCTCAGAAGTTCCCAGTTTACAAGCCAGCAATTAGGCAGCTCTTTGGATCAGGGGTGCCCAAGAGTGGGGGCAGTTGAATCCTGCAGGTCGTCTATCCACACAGGTGTTGCTGAGGGAGAGAGATTGGTTCTCAGACACATCTTTCCTTGGGACTATTAGCAACACATCTCTGCAGGATCAGAGAGGAAGTTGCCTTGTACCAAGGCTTCACTGCAAGAGTAGAGGTGTTCAGAAGCTATATGCATAAAATGGGCTCACAAATGGGGTGTGACTCAGTGGCAGGGCATTTGCCTGGCATTGGTGGTGAGGCCCTGGATTCCATCCCCAGCACTGCATGTACATAAAGAAAATGCATTCACATGTTCCTCTGGCACCCTGGGGCTGGGCGATTTTAAATTCTTAGAGTTTCTTTGTTTGAGTTTGAAGCAACCCTTGAAGACTTTTTCCATTATCAGAGAAGTGATCTTCCCTAGAAAGTCCACAGAGCTAACTAACAAGCCCTTCTTTTCCCTTTCAGCCTCTGGTCCAGGGAATTTCTTCTTTCAGTTTGGCTAATGAAGGGCAACCACCAGAACCCAGAAAATGCAGACTCACTCAGTTCAACCTCGAATGTGGACACAATTCACCTCCTTCCTTCATCAAGTCTCTGTGTACTTAGAGCAGTTTCGTTTTCTCAGTTGGATGCCTGTGTCTGTGAGTGTGGTGAAGGAAAGGGAGCCAACGCCCAAGATTGGGGAGGGGAGGGAGGCGGGGGGTGGACAGGGAGGCAGCTTGTGAATTTTTGTTGTACTGTTTAACTTTATTAAAAAAGGAAAAAAAAAAAGAAGAAAATAAAATGTTTTGACCCTTTCTGGCCCTTTGCTTTGGCAGCTGCTTTATGTCCCTCCACAGCCTATAGGCCATAGCTGAGCCACCAGCGTGGAACTGACCTTGACACAGACTTGAGGTCCTGCAAGCTGACATAAGGGCTTGGGTACCCCAAGCCTGGTAGCAGATGGTGCTGCTGGGTTCTGCCTAGTGGTGGTTATGGGGAAGTGAGTTCAGAATGCATGCTCATCTTATAATGAGATGGCCAGAAGTCACTAGAAGCTGTGTATGTCTAGAACACAGGAGTGTAGGTGGTGTTAACCTGGGTCATGTGGTTCACACAGGCGCTCTCAGTTCTTCTTAGACATGGAGATGAGAATAAAACCTGCCTCCTAACCTCCAGACTCTCAAGTGGGTCAGGCAACTCCCAGGCCTCATCTCTGGCGTTAGACTCACATGGTTGGAAATACCATTAACAACTGCCCTTGGCCTTCTGCATTGGTCCCCTTTCTGGTGTGAACATAGGCTGAGGAGAAGCAGCAGTATGTGTCGCACTGTTCAGTCCAGCTTCCTGTTGAGGTGAGAAGCCTCAGGAGTTCTAGGCAAACATGAGAGGCTTGACTGAAGCTTATTTTTGGTGCTCTGATAGTCTCAATGGCCAGGGAGAGGCCTTGAGCCAGAGAAAAGACTTGATTTCTTTTCTAAGCTCTGCCTTTACCCCCTTTGGTGCATGGGGCAGTAGTGAAGTGATGGCTGAGTTAGGCCTGCGAAGTTTCCCATGAACTAAGCTGTAGGAGACTACTGAGTGTTAAATCATCCCTTGTGTTTTAAAGTAGCAGTGACTTGAAGGTGGACTCTCCTAGAGAACTGGGGAAAACCCATACTAGGAACATTGGCTCTTGCAGAGAGATCTGATCGGACTGGTCTTGGGACACCTGTGGGCCTGATGCCCTAGTTAATGGAGGACAAGAGCTTTTGTGCTCCACATCTCTCCTGGTCAACCCCCACGTTCTGTACGAGTCTGAGGCCAGCCTCTCTCCTTTCTGCCTCCTCATGAAAGCCAACACTGTTCAGTTGCCCAGCCTTACCACAGCTGTGCCCAGCCAGCAGCGGGGAGACAGGACCGATGGCCCCAAGCTGTGGGACAAAGCCAGTCCTAATATACCCAGCCCTGGATGCAGGAAAGACTGAGCTGGGCATAGAAGGGTGAGAGAGACTGCACACAGCTAGGATTAACATGATTTATTTCATTATCAGTCTTACAAGTTGACGAGGCTGGGCAAAACCCGGATAGTAACTTAAATCCAAAATACTCTGTTGAGTGACAACCTGATTAGCAAGGTCCCGTTATTGAGCAGAGGGCAGTGGAAGGCACTCCAGGAACCAGAGCCCATGGAGCAGTGTTAAAACCCCTCAGAGGCAGCAGGTGGGGTTTGCCTGGCCAACTAGAGGTCCCCTCCATTGGCTCTTGGTACCCAGTAGCCTCCTTTAGAGAAGGCTCAAAGGCCTCCAGAGGCACCAGGGAGGCAAGATGGACTGGGCCCAGCAAGGCTGGAGCTCTCCCCTGCTGTGTCTCTGGCCTCTATCTATCTCCTTGGCTATGCAGCAGAGCCACACCACTGGGAAGGACAGCCAACTCAACCCCTTCCTGGGGTGGGACCAGGAGGCAGGCTGGGAGGTGGCGGCTGCTACTGAATCAGTTATCAAACTGTTACCTAGTTATAGGGTAAAGGAGACAGGGACTTAGGACCAAAGGTGGGAGGTAAACCCCTTTTTCTACCCTGGCAAATAATCCCAGGGGTTACAATGATTAAGAAATGGGATCAAAACCCAGGGGCCCAGGGCACTCTTATGCCTCCCAGGTGCTGTGCTGCAAGTTCTGAGCCACCTTTTAAATAAAATTCCTGTTCACTTGCTTTTATTAAAAGAAAAAAAGAAAAAAGCCCGGGGATCCTCCCTCCTGTGGCAATGGGCCCCAGACTACAGCCCCACTGCCTTTGGTCCTTTGTTAGCAGGGCCTGGGCTGGGGGCAGGGCTTGCCAGTTCCTGGAGGTGGGGCAAGGTGGGGTTCTGACTGGCTCCAGCCTTATCAGCTTTGATCCAGATTCCTGAATGGTGTCAATCCACCCACCTTGTGTTGAGACTTGGTGTGTTAGAGGGGAAGAGGGCAGACAGCAAAGGAGAGGCAGTTATTTTACAAGTTTTTTAAAAAGTTATATGTAAGTTAACTTTGAGTAAAAAAAAAATCTTACCACATGGAGCACATGTAGCCCTCTCCTCCCCCTCCCTTCTAAAGAGTGAGGAGCATATTGTGGCACAAACCCTCAGATGATGATGCAGGACTGCAAGGCGCCCCCCTTCCGGCTGCCATGAGTGGGCACAGGTTTACCCTTCCCGTAGTATCCTGTGAAGATGGCCTTGACCTCCATCTTCTTGGCCAGACTTAGCATCCAGCGCCCACTGCCCAAGGAGTAGAGTTTGCCCCGGGTAAGCTCACCCACCTCCTCACCACGGCTGCCCCCCTTCTCCTGCCGTACAATCTCTAAGAGGTCAATGCCGGTCTGCACGGCCTCCACGTCGGCCGCACAGCCAAGGGTGATATGAGCGCGGCTCCCCCGGGGCAGGTTGTCAGAGGACAGCTTGTCCACGTCATCTGGCCACAACAGCAGCTCCTGCTCACTCAACTCCACCCGGGCCCCAGCCGTCTTGGGTGTCACAAAGAGGGCAGAGATGGTTAATGTGAAGGCCTTGCCGTAAGATTTCTTCACCACCTAGGGAGAGTGAGAAAGAGGAGCCCAAGCTAGAGGGACAGCTGACCAAGGGTGGGTTACTCCTGGAGGGAAGGTCAGCTTAGCAGATGTGATCACAGCTGAGTGGAGGTCTGCATATCTGCCACAGATGTGTGCAGCTGCAGCGTGTGGCAAGCAGGGTGCAGGCTGACAACCACAAGGTGCTCAGAGGCAGGAGAGCAGGGGTAGAACCAGACTGGTGTGCAGACCTTGTCCCTGCTCACCAGTTTCAGGGCTTTGAGGGAGCTGTTGAGCCTCTCAGTTTATCCACCTGTAAACCACATAATACTAGAAGATACCTCAGGGTTAATGTGAGGACTAAAGGAGTGACCAGGTGCAGAGCCAGGGTCCAGGTGCACAGAACGTGCCATTGCTCTTCCAATTCGCCTCTGTCTAGGCTTAGGCTACACCATGGGGCAGTGATCAAAATCTGTTCTGTGTACTGTGGTTTCCACCTACTATACATCAGAGTATATCTGATTTCTTTAAGAAACTTCATTTCATCCATCTGACCTGACCATAAAATCTAATTTGCTCACAAGCCTCTGTTCCAACACTGTCTGGCATGTAATAGGTGCTTAATAAATAAGGCTGAATGAACAAATGGTTAGATATGGTAGTGATAACTTATATATTCAGTCATTCTATGCTATTCAGTTAACTATGCTAGGGTTCTGGAAACACAGGGGTGAACAAAATTAAGAACTCCTGGCCCCCAGCTGCCATCTGAGTAAGAAGACACCAGAAAGCAAACATATAAAATAGTTATGTTAGTCTGGGCAGGGAAGCGGGAGAAGAACAGGGATCAGGGAAGGTCTGACAGAGAGGGTGACAGTAGAGGAAATGGGGAACCAAGTTGTGCAGATCTGGGTGACACATCTGGTGTTTCAGGATCACCGTATCTGGCTGTGGGTGTGCAGTGCTATCTGTGTGGTGGTGAAGGATCTAGTACTCCTAAGCCAATGAACTTTACCACGCTAAGCCATTCTCTCTCTCTCTGGGGCAAGGCCAGGCCTCAGACGTAGACAAGAGCCTCAGTGCACCAGGCTACCTGGGACACAGGACTCTTAGCCATTAGGACTTAACATGGGTTCCCCATGAATCCACAGAAGGAAAAGACTCATGGGTAGGCCTCAGGGACAAATGCACAGGCGAGCTCTTAAGAACTGGTACCTGAGGTCTACAGACTAAGCTTAGGAACAGAGAACTGAAGGAGGGGAGGCCATTTTTCTCTAGCTGCTGTCTGGGTCTACTCCCTGCCTGGTCACACTGCAGCCCTGTCCCCCTGGGGAAAACTCACATCCTGCTGACCGTAGTCCTCGGCCCCTGCGGCCTTTCCGTATTGACAGAACTTGGTTGTGCAGTGCAGCACGCCAGGGGGTCTCTTCCCAAAGTAGGTGATCAGATCGATCTTCTCTTTGTGCTCATCCCCCGAGATAACTGCCGGACAGAGAGGGAGTAGTCAGGGCAGCAGAGCATACCAACACCCACCAGGGAGGCCCGGGGGACAAAGCTCCATTCCGCATAAAGTCTAACAGTCCACTACAATTCATTCATTCTTGAGTTGGTCAAAGTCATGCTAACTTTAGAGCTATAAAAAGTACTTAAGGGCTGGGGATGTGGCTCAGTGTGGTACAGCACTTGCCACATGAGTAATGCCCTGGGTTTGACCCCTGGCACCACAAGAAGAAAAACAGTGTTTAAATTCCCTCTTTTTATACCACGCAGAGCTTTACATCTCTTCCCCCCCAAAATAAGGCATCTAAAACTCAGGGAAAGCAGCACAGGCCAAAGAACGCAGATCCACCAACAGCACGCCTAGCAGGGGAAAGCCATGAAAAATGGGGTGGGAAAAAAAGAGGGTTAGGAACACTATGGTACACCGGAGAGGGCCAGAGTAGACACAAACATCTGCCGCTGCGAGCCACTGGGCCTGGGCCAAGAGGTTGACCCTCCTCTATCAGTCCACCACAATGATGAGGGTCACCATACACCCCAATTTCCTCAGGACCCTGAGTAACAGTAGGACCCCATTTCACCCAGGGGCTCACTTATAGAGCAGTTATTTGGTGCCCATAACAGCACACCCTGCGGGCTGGTTGGGAGGAGACTTTGCAAAGGGGCTAGGGCAGGAAGGGTCCCTGGGTATAGCAGGATAACATGGCTGGCAGACACCACGAAGGGTGAGTTCATTTCCAGACTCCAAGCTTTGTGGCTATCCTCAGAGTCATGACATTTAGCCTGCTGGTTCCTAGAGGTTAATCCCTGTGGGCACTGTCACCCTCCATGGGGGTAAAAACCTCTATTCTGAGAGCAGGTCTTATTCCCTGATCATGACATTTCTTTTGCCAAATCCTGGACAGAAAAGCATTCCAGTTTTTATAGTACCAGCAGCTTCAAGCCACAGCCATGCCCAAGCAGGACCTCAGCCCTGCCTCTCCTGGTTCTCCCTGAAGCTCCTCCAGGGAACAAGGCCAACTCTTGCCAGGGCTAGTGCAGGCATGTTTCCTGACAGGATCCAAGCTTTAGGAGCCCAGAATAAAGTTCTTTGAGAACCCAACACAGACACTGAGCACCCACCTCTGATCAGTAAGGGCTAAGTAAAGAAACAGGTTATTTCAAGCATACAGAGGATCTAAAATTGAGGCGAAGGTTGTATCAGAATTGGTTTAAAGTCACAGATAGATTATTGGGTGACACAGCCCTAGTAGGCCACTGAAGAAGAATGAGGCCCACTTAGACCCTTTCCTATCCCAAACCTACCCTATCACTAGACCTGAGAGCCCTTGCGAGGACAGAACCCTGCTGACGTGGCCAAGGTCCAGGGCTCCAGGTAACAAATCCCATATCCCTTCTGGGCCTGTTTCTCTTCCATCTGGAAAGCAAAGGATTTGGGACTAGGTGTGAGACTTGGTTCTCTGGAGCCATAAGATGTCACAGAGGTTTGGGGTGCACAAGGTGACCCTGGATGATGTGGACAGGTAAGTCATAACAGTCCTAGTTATAATTTTTTTTTGCAGCTTAGGATTCCATGTAAAATCTTGTTTTGGAACATGGTTCTGCTGTTAAAAACGAATTTGACAACCCTGAACCAGATTCTCTCTCTCAGGTTACATTACATGACGGTATTTCCTGTTAAAACCTACATCCAAGACAGGGGCTGTGTCCAGATCCAGGCTGGGAGAGAGGGACTGGGGGAAACAGAGGAAAGGTGCTCTGGACAGTGCCTCCCACCGTATTTTCACCCTGCATCTACTATGTGTGTGTGTGTGTGTGATGTATGTGTGTGCGTGTGTGTTTGTAAGAATAGGATTTTTTTCAAGTGTGAACAGAAACAGAACTCCTGCAGGGCAACAGGGGACCCAAGAGGGGTTGCCCTGTTCTACTTCTGTTCCCACCCAAGCTACTCTGTTAAGTGCCCACTTGCTTCTGGCTGGTCCAGGGCAGCTTCCATCTGCCTTCCCCATCTCACCCGACCCTCTGAGTGGGGCTTATGAACAAGGAGATCTGCGCGGAGTTGAGCATCCCTGCCTCCCCGCCTCTGTCCCCCATGCCACCTACAGTGTCGCAGCTCCTTCTTGAAGGCCTTGTGGTTCCCCAGCTCCTCCAGGAAGACCTGGCCAACTTTTCGGAGGATCTCAGAACTCTTACTGGTCAGGAACCAGCCGAAGTAGAGTGGCAGGAAGTCCTTCTCCAGCCCAGGCTTCAGCTTCTTCAGATCATCGGCCGACAGCTGCCACTGGTTCTTCTCTTTGAGCTGGGTACAGTCCAGCCGCCACGCCGTCTTGGGCTCCACCAGCACCACCTGGTACTGGTACTGGTCGGCCAATTCAAAGAGCTGCTCCAGGCGCTCTGGCTCGTGGTTGGTGTCGTCTAGCACGAGCACTCTGATGTTTCGGCGGCAGTAGGCAGCCAGGTCCTCGTCCAGCCGCTTGTACTCCTCGGAGAAGGCTCCGCGGGCACCAGGCGTGATCTTGTAGGCATCGGCAGACACCATCTTGGTGCCATCGTGGTATTTATCCACAATGACCCGGGACAGCGTGGACTTGCCACTCCCTGGCAGCCCTCGCAGGATGAAGAGCGTCTTGCACTCGTGCAGTGCGGCCACCGTATCCTCATCCTGAAGGAAGGGAAACTGCAGCTCGGGCTTGTCCTTGGCCCCGGAGGATGACATCTTTCGAAAGAAGATCTTGGGCAGGAATGTGTGGCTCTTTCGGGAGATGCTTCTGTTCTGTGTAAGGAGGGAAGGGATGTCAGCCCAGGTCTCCTGCAGCCAGCCCAGCAGCCCCTTGTCTCTAGCCTAGGTCTAGAGAGAAGCCCCAGCTCAGGAATCTCTGGGCCTGACTTGAAGCACCCTTGGGTGGTGGGTGCCTTCCCCAGGCAGACCAGTGGTGGCCTTTTTCTCCCTTTAGGTCTGTGTGGCACAAGAGGGAGCCTGTCTGACGCTCCCTAACCTCTTATTCTCCTGGCCTCAAGGATCATCCACTGCTGCCTCTCTGAAAGGGACACTTGGTGGAAGTGCATGCAGGGGAGGCCGGGGCCTGTGCTTCCAGGCCTGGCCCTAACTTTTATATTCCTGGCACCTCTTAAGGATGTTCCCTTTGGAGGCTGGGGACTCTGTCTGGGCAAAGACACAGCTGCCCTGGCTGTGTGTGTGCAAAAAAAGAGTGTGGGGGTGGAGGAGGGTCACCCAAAGACCGCCTCCCTTCCCCCAACAATGGCAGCAACAGATAATACTCTCTTGTCTGGTATGGGGGGACAATGGTCCCACAGAGGGCTAGTGGGGGGCAGGGCAGGAAAGCACTGGACAAAGGGCCTCATTCACCGCCTACCATCTCCTCCTCTGCCCTCTCGCAGGCCCCCTACAAAGTCGAGGTCTTTGTGCCTGCTCTAGGACTAGGAGGCACAAGACACCTGTGTTCAGGATCTAGCTCTGCCCTCCATTTTGCTGTGTGCCAGCAGCACCTCTCTGAGCCTCTTCTTTTCCTGTTTGCTAAAAGCAACAAGTGACTAACAGTTTTTACTGTAAATATCTTCTCCGCACTGGCTTTGCCTCCCATCTGCATCCTGAGAGATTAGGTGGCCTACTATTCCATCAGAAGGGTACTGCCGCAATCTTGGGGCTCGTGGATCCTCTAACCCAGACCCAGGTCCACCCTCCAGCTGGGTGTCCCCGGGAAGCAGCAGTTGGGGCCTTTCCCAAATTCTTTCCTCCTAAATATCACCGTTTCCCTTCTCCATGGGCGTGCGCGTTCCCCCAAGCTTCCTCCTACCTTCGGGCTGCCCTGGAGTCACCAGAAAGCTGGAACTCAACTCCGGAACTTCGAGTCCTCATTTGCATAGCACATCCTCCCAAGAATCCTCAAATACTCTCGCTTTCCGTTACGATACCCCCCCCCCCCCCCCCCCCCCGCGCCCGGCCCGGCCCTCTCTCCCGTCCACACGTCAGCTCACCATGATGAGTGGGGGGCGCCTCCGTCCCGCCTTTGCAGGCACTAGCTCTCCGGAGCCACCCGCCTGCGCGAGGGACACGGCGTCTCGCGGTGACCCACCCCAGGCCCGGCCGCTTTACATAGCCGGGGGCGGGGCTGCGGCCGACCCTCTGCGCAGGCGCCGCTAATCGAAACTCAAACCACCCTCCGCGCCGGGAAGGAGCTCCAGGCCCTGCCTAGCGCAGCTGCACACCGGGGCTGCACCTGCGCCCCCGGGAGCCACCCATCGGCCTCTTCTGCTTAAACATGTTAAGGATTAATTCTTCTCTTTCTTTCTTTCATTTTCTTTTGCTGGGATGTGAACCCAGGGCCTGGTGCATGCTCTATCACTGAGCTACGTCCTCAGCCCCCATTAATGATTAATTCTTGTACTAGGGTCCTAATCACCTTTCCCCAGCAGCCCCATGGGATTAGGATTCAGTGAGAGAGATAGGGTCTAAACTGCAGAATAGGATCCTGTCTTTAAAATTTGATATTTGTCGTGCGCCTTTGCATTTATTCATTGATTTTTGCAACAGTTCTTTAAAACTTGATCTGTGCGGTTGGGGTGTAGCTTAATGGTAGAGCTACTTGACTAGTATACAGGAAGCCTTGGGTTCCATCTCCAGCACCGCAATCAATCATAATAAAAATTTTAAGTGGGGAGCTGGGGCTGTAGCTCAGTGGTAGAGCCTTTACCTAGCATGTGTGAGGCACTGGGTTCGATCATCAGCACCACATAAAAATAGATATAATTTTTTAAAAATATTTATTTTTTGGCTGGGCACAATATCTTTTTTTTTAAAGAGAGAGAGAGAGAGAGAGAGAGAGAGAGAAGAGAAGAGACAGAGAGAGAGAGAATTTTTTAATATTTATTTTTTAGTTTTCGGCGGACACAACATCTTTGTTTGTATGTGGTGTTGAGGATCGAACCCGGGCCGCACACATGCCAGGCGAGCGTGCTACCACTTGAGCCACATCCCCAGCCCTGGGCACAATATCTTTATTTTATTTATTTTTATGTGGTGTTGAGGATCAAATCCAGGTCCTTGCACATGCTAGGCGAGCACTCTACCACTGAGCCATAACCCCAGCCCATAAAAATTTATTTTATTTTATTTATTTATTTTTAATTTTTATTGTTGGTTGTTCAAAACATTACATAGTTCTTGATATATCATATTTCACACTTTGATTCAAGTGGGTTATGAACTCCCATTTATACCCCATATACAGATTGCAGAAACACATCAGTTACACATCCACTGTTTTACATATTGCCATACTAGTGTCTGTTGTATTCTGCTGCCTTTCCTATCCTCTGCTATCCCCCCTCAAAAAATTTTTTTAAATGGAAAAAAAAAAGACATTGTCTAGTTTTTGGTCACTGCGGTAAATTTTGCAACCACCTCACGTTTCCTGAACATAGTCCTGGCTCCTTTTCAGCAAAAGTCAGCCTCATCCCTGACCCAGGACCACCGTGGTAAAGGAATTACCCTCTTTGGCCAACTGCTAGGCCGCCACCTCCCCAGTAAAGCCATTGAATGCTTGGATTTTTTAGAGTTTCTTTGCACTCATAATTCTCAGGTCAATCCTGGAGGCAGGTTCCTTATTGTACAGAGGAGGAAACAAGCTTTAGTGGCCTGATTTACTTGATTGGACCACCCAGAGGTGGCAGAGGTGGAGTCCCTCTGCAGCACCTACTCCCAGGCTCCCCTGCTATTCTGTGGCAGAAGCCATCTCTCTTCCTCTGGGTCCTTAGAGCAACCACCAGCACCAGCGTTCCCTTCATTCCTTTCATTCTGCTTTGGGGCCTAGTCAGCCCTCAGTATGATTGCTGATGATGGCTGAGGCCTTTCCAGCCAACACTGATCCTTCCTGTGGTGTGGTCTTCCAGTCCTGCACTCAGTAGGTCCTTGCTGGGCGAACCAGGGGCTAGGAGCTGGGTAGACACACCACTACTCCCAGGCCGTTCTCTTTTCCTTCTCCCTTAAAACTTTCTGGTTTCCAGTCTAGCACAGTGGCACAACCCGGGAGGTTGTGGCAGGAGGATCGCTAGTTCAAGCCCAGCCTCAGCAAGGCCTTAAACAACTTATTGAGACCCTGTCTCAAAATTAAAAATAAAAAAGGGTTGGGGACATAGCTCAGTGGTAAAGTGTCCCTGGGTTCAATCCCTAGTACCAAAGAATAATAACGACTATAACTTTCTGGGTTCCCTGGAGCTCACCTGCTTCTTCACCTGTCTGAGATCACCTTTCTCATTTCTTCCATGAGGCTCTTCTGAAAACGGGTGGGAGTGAGGGGGCAAAATGATATTTGGGGTTTGCAAAAGTGAAAGATACATATTTAATGAGAAATTAGTGATAGAAAGAGATAGAGGTGACCTGTGGGAACCTGTTTCCCATTCCCCCACCCCCCCATCAAAAACACATCTCAGCTTGAAAATCCAGTTAAGAGGAGTCGTGGCCCTCGAGCACCAGCCTCCTGCTAATGCCTGGTAAGGCAGGCTTCACTCTACTCCTTTTCCATTTCTTCGGCAATTTTTGTTTCCTCCGCTTTCACTTCTTCTTTTTCTTCTGTTTCCCCCGGTTCTTTCTCTCCTGAACTTACTTCAGAAACTCTTTTCTCCAGTCTTTCTGAGGCCTTTGTGCTTAATTCTCCGGAAATCTCTTGGTCTAATTCTGAAGGCCGCCTGTAAATTTCCCTGGACTCTCTCCTGTCCACCTCCAGCAGCGTCCTGCCCTCCGACACTCTCCTGGAATCTTCCCTGAAGCTTCTTCTGGCTTTCTCTGCCTTCTGTCTCTGAGAATCGTCCTTGAATTCCTCATCCTCTGTGTCTCCGTCGCTCTCCCCTTGCTCCCTTTCCCAGCTCTTCATCACCTTCTTGGTGTCCTCCCTCCCTTTCTTCCCTTCCTTCTCCTTCGCCTCCACTGTTCTGTCTTCATTCAGGGCAGGGGCCTCTTCTGAAAAACAGCACAAAGAAGGGAAGAGAGGTGAAGGCCTGGTCATCACTACGTCTGTGGAGGCCTTTGCTCCTGAGAGAAAAGCCCCGAGACTGTTTTCACATGCTCCTTCCCTTGGTGTTGATGGAGCCCTTCCCAAAAGGAGGAAAGGGGACCATCACTCCTTGATCACGCCACCCCACGTGGCAGCATGTGAGGGGCCAACACCCTTCCAACAGGAAACTGCACAGTGTTGGAATCTGCAGTCAAAGGACTCCAGACCCGCAAAAGAAAATCACACGATGGTCACTGCAAGTACAGAAGAGTCGAGCTGAATGTAGGATGGTCCAACCCAAGAGCCTGTGTTCTCTTCCCTCCCTTCCCTGTGGAAAGTAGCCTAGGTGCTGGGAAATGGCAGCAGATTCTTTTCTCCACTATCCTCCTTCAGCCATATTCTCTTTGTCTCTGGGAAGTGTGTGTGTGTGTGTGTATATGTATATATATATATATATATATATATTTTTTTTTTTTTTTTTTTTTTGGACTGGGAATTGAACCAGGGGTACTTTAGGGTAGTTTACTCTTGAGCTACATCCCCAGCCCTTTTTAATTTTGAGACAGGATCTCGCTAAATTGTTTAGGGCATCGTAAATTGCTGAAGCTGCCTTTGAACCTGCACTTCTCCTGCCTCAGCTTCCCGAGCCTCTGGGATTACAGGTGGGTGCCACCATGACAGGAACATATTTATCGTTTGTTAAGAGGGTTCCTGTAAAAATATGAAAAGGCTGCCAGCAGCAGGATCAGCTAGAGAGCTGCTGTTTTATGACCAAAGGGATTCTCACTCCTTGTTTTTAACAGTTACAGAGAAAAGTCACCAATCCCCTCCTGAATCCTTCATTCTCTTTCTGGAAGCTGCTGGGTTCCCAGCCACAGGACTGAGGCTCTCTGCCATTGGAGGTGAAAAAATAAGCAATGCTGCCACCTGCTGTTCTGAGAAGGAAGTGCCAGGAGTGCCCTTGGCCACAGTGTCTTCAGCATGAGGACCCCAAAAGACACTTTCCCTAGTGTGCAGCCTGCAGAAGGGTGGAAGGGCTGCTTGGAGCATCTGCCATTTCCCATCTGCCCCTTCTCTTTTCACATCTATCACTCCTGTGGCTTCTTAGAGCAGCTCTGAGGGCTGCTGAGGGGATTCAGCTGCCACGTGGCAGGCGCCAGATAACAGAACTGTCACGTGGCTGTTCTGGTGTCTAGAAACCTCTTGCTGCTATGACCTGGAGGACCAGAAAGGATGGATCCTTGGAGCCTGGAGGGTGTTAGCCAGGAATCTGCCCTGGACTCTGTCCTCCTGGACCACCGCCCCCACCCTCCACTGCAATATGGCTGAGGTAAGGGGCGCACTCCACAGACGGAAGCAGACAGGCCATCTGTCACCAGAAACAGTGTGGAGCCATGGTAAAAGCACAGATTCCAAAGTAAATATTGAAAGCCACTGTGGATTTTTAACCCCACTGCCTCTGTGTCCTCATCTATCAAATTAAGCTAAATATACTTTTTTTGGCAGTGTTTTGGGAAGGCTAGGGAGTCAGTGCATACAGAGCCCTTAGAAGAAGGGCTGGCCCAGGGAAGGCCCTGAATGGATGGAGACCAGCTGCTACTCTCAGCCCAGTTCCTTTGGACGTGCCCATCCTCTGCCTCTCTTCCCTCACTCCTTCCCTGTGGGCAAGGGCAGCCTGGAGACAGAGGGTCACAGAGGGTCACAGACGGCTACTCCCTGAAGCCTTCTGAGAAACAGTGCTGTCAGGCCCTGCTGTTAAGCAAAATAGTGGCCTCTGCACTCCAGCCTCGCAGGAGCCCCTTTGCCTGGAAGTGCCACCATGCACAGGAGCAAGAGCACACAGCAGAGGGGGCTCTGAGCGCTGACAGGTTGGGCACAGAGCCCCACCCACAGTGGGCCCAACCCTCCCCAGTCCTCTGCTAGGGAAAGGCTGTGGCTGCAGAATCAGAAGGCCCTGTGGACAGTGCCACCCTGGCTGGGGGAGCTGCTGGAAAGTGTGGCCAGGACTGCTGGGAGAGAAGACCCGGGAGGACACTGGAGTTGCCCTTTGGGGGTTCCGGGGACGCACCTTTGTCTTTGAGCATCTCCCTGTAGTTAGTTTTCTTCAGTTCTTC